GGCCAGCCATTCTGGCTGGGGGATTCTGGCAGTTGAAGGCCCTTCATCTTGACAGGGGCAAGTTTTGACAACATTGTTCTAAAGGAATAAGTAATACACGATACGTTTTATTGCCCAAAGACACATACTTATATTGTTGGTATTAATGGCATTATTTTTCAACAGGATTTTGTTTTAACAGCAAGGTACTATTTTAAATACTAAGAGTATTCCTTCCAGGTCCAAATATATTTACATGCCATTTAAAAATTAATCAGATTTTACACAAGTTTAGAGAGACACAAAAAACCTTCTGAAATCAGCATCTGTGAGTATAACATCTCCCTGAGTACAAAAAGAAGCAGCACTAATCTTGCCTCTTCATGCTATGCTGTTTCCTAATTCTCTGTTCTGGGTCAGCAGAACGGAAGATGAGAATGACCACACACACAATAGAAGAGGCTTCAGGAATGAAGAGTTCTGCTGAGAATTATTACTGGAAACAGCAGAAGGGCCCTCTGTCACTGTAGCAGAAGGTTCCTCTTATTATTTTCCTCTATTCAAAAGTTAAAATTGGCTACAGAGAATCTAAACAAACAAACAAAAAGAGTAACATTTGGATTTTTTTAATACAATAATTTGTAGAATTTTCCAATTCCCTTCATTAAGGTTCAAGAAACTGGGAGGAATCTTTACCAAGGTGGGGCTGGAATTCAAGAACGGAAGATACGCTTTCTGAATGCACAAGACAGAAAACAAGAGAGAGGGTCCAAATTTCTACTGCATCTCCCATTTGTGCTGGGGTGGATATTTATTTATTTAATCAATTGCAACTTTGGGCAGCTAAAACAGGTTGAAAACAAGTACGTAAGAAATAACCAAAACAAAATAAAAATACAAACAAGGCATCCAAGGCAACCACAATCATCTCCATAATCTTTACAGAATGGGCTCAATGCTTAGGGAAAAGCTTATAGCTGAATATCAACTGTAAACGAATGAACCTTGTCCCATACTGACAGAGGACCTCTCTCTGTGTCTTGCAGATATTAATCAGGATGGGAGAGAGGACTGAATCCAGTACTCAAGGTCTAGATCTTTCTCCCCATCTAGTTTAGGAGCCGCCACTGATAGGAGCCCCCCATTCAGGAAGGAGCAGACCCCAATAATGTAGGCCAGGGTTCCTCAACTTCAGCAACTTTAAGATGGGTGGACTTCAACTCCCAA